ACAGGTGCCAAGCCATGATACGCTTTTGATTTCAGGGTCATGCGACGGCTTCTTGTGGGATGGGAACAGCTTCATTCTGAGGTCTGACCCCTGTCCTGCAGTTCCAGAATGGATGGAGGGTCTTTATTTTCACCAAAATTATGTGTCTACTTTCTTTCTCCATGTATAGGTTGTCCTATTCCTAGACGTGATCTGATCTACCAGTTAGAGCACCGGCAGGCACCGTGGACAGTGAGCAAAGACCTCTTCCAAAGACCCTGTCCAGGTAGGAGCCAGTGTCTGGGCAGCTGGGTCCAGGCTTGAGCCTGAGCAGAGACCATTAGCACTGGAATGTCAAGGAAACTTCTTGTTGAGGCCTCTCTAAGAATTTGGGCACCCTGGAGGCCTTTTGCCTGTGGTCCCTCTGTCCTCCCAGCCCCATCACCCATGTCTTCGCCACTGGGGAGGAGTGAGATTGATGAACTGAGATCTGTCTTAGGGCTGCAGCTGTGTGGGCCTGAAACCTAGCTTGGTGATCACCAGCTCTGTGGCTTAGTGGAGTTGCATGAGCTCCTGTCTTTGAAAGTAAGTCCAGCTAAGTTAATGGAACTGCTGTTTCAGACAGACTCTAAAATCCCAGGGGTTTGGAATAGAAAAAGGGCCTTTCTTACTCTCCCAGATTTTTTCTCTAACTCTATCCTGCCTGTCACCCTTTCTCTCCTTCTCCATCAGCCCATCCACTGAGTGTTTAAAGCAGTCCTTGCTCATATCTTCTTGCATCTCCTGTGTTGCAGAACCTCAAGGTGACATTTAACCTTCTCTGTCCCACACCTGGCTGCTAAGGGTGCTGGGTCCATCATATGTATGCATTGGTGCCCCTGCAGAGTCTTTTTTTTGTAGAGACAGAGTCTCACTCTGTTGCCCTCAGTAGAGTGCCATGGCGTCACACAGCTCATAGCGACCTCCAACACCTGGGCTTAGGTGATTCTCTTGCCTCAGCCTCCGGAGCAGCCAGGACCACAGGCGCCCCTCATAACGCCCAGCTATTCGTTTGTTGCAATTTGGCCAGGGCCGGGTTTGAACCCACCACTCTCAGTATATGGGGCTGGTGCCCTACCCACTGTGCCATAGGCGCCGCCCTAGTCCCTGCAGAGTCTTGATCTCTCTTCTGTGTTGGTCTATCAGGCTGCTCAGCAACCTATGTCTTTGTGCCATCTCAGTCTCTTCAGAATCTGTTCCAAACCTTCTCCTTTCTTTTTTTGAGACAGAGTCTTACTTTGTCACCCTTGGTAGAGTGCTGTGACATCACAGCTCACAGCAACCTCCAGTTCTTGGACTTAAGGTGATTCTCTTGCCTCAGCCTCCCAGGTAGCTGGGCCTAAAGGCGCCCCTCATAACGCCCAGCTGTTCTTTTGTTGCAGTTTAGCTGGGCCAGGTTTGAACCCACCACCCTTGGTATAAGAGGTTGGCGCCCTACACACTGAGCCACAGGCACTGCCCACCTTCTCCCTTCCTTATTTTTTATTTTTTTTATTATTATTTTTTAAAATAAAGACAGAGTCTCACCTTATCGCCCTTGGTAGAGTGGCATGGCGGTCACACTGCTCACAGCAACCTCCAACTCCTGGGCTTAGGCGATTCTCTTGCCTTAGCCTCCCTAGTAGCTAGAACTACAGACACTCGCCACAACGCCCAGCTATTTTTTTGCTGCAGTTTGGCCAGGGTCAGGTTTGAACCCGCCACCTTCAGTATATGGGGCCGGTGCCCTACTACTGAGCCACAGGCGCTGCCCTATTTTTTATTTTTTTATTTTATTTTTTTCTTTTTAGAGACAAGAGTTTCATTTTGTTGCCCTCGGTAGGGTGCTGTGGCATCACAGCTCATGGCAACCTCCAGCTCTTGCCTCAGCCTCCCGAATAACTGGGACTACAGGTGCCTGGCACAACACCAGTTGTTTTCTTGTTACATTTTGGCCAGGACTGGGTTTAAACGCGCCACCCTCAGTATATGGGGCCAGCACCCTACTCACTGAGCCACAGGCGCTGCCCCTTCTCTCTTTTTTTTTTTGAGATAGGCGCCTCAAGCTGTCCCCCTGGGTAGAGTGCTATGGCATCACAGCTCACAGCAACCTCCAACTCCTGGGCTCAAGCGAGTCTCTTGCCTCAGCCTCCCAAGTAGCTGGGACCACAGGTGCCCGCCACAATGCCTGGCTATTTTTTGGTTGCAGCCGTGATTGTTGTTTGGTGGGCCGGGGCTAAACTCAAACCCGCCACCTTGTTTGTACGTGGCTGGCGCCTTAGCCACTTGAGCCACAGGTGCCGAGACCCTTCTCCCTTCTTTAGTTTCACATCTCCACCTCACTATCTCAAAGGCACTTAAATTCTCAGGCTGAAGAAACTCGTGATCTTATTCACTGCTTCCACCTCACAAGTTAGTGAATGGAAATGACATGAAGGCTATGTTAACCAGTTTGATGAAAATATTTCAAATTGTATATAAAAACAGCACACTGTACCCCATGACTGTATTAATGTACACAGCTATGATTTAATAAAAATAAATAAAAATAGAAAAACTGGAAAAAAAATAAATTAATTTAAAAAATTAAAAAAACAAGTTAGTGAATGGTCCTGCCATCCAAGTAGAGTAGGACACTGGATTTCATCTGAGATAGCTTATCAACACCTACATCTCCTCAGTTTCTACATTCAGCCATCCTAAAATCCTGTCCATTTTACATCATACACTTCTCCTAACTTCATCCCTTCCACCATCTTCAAGTCTGCACCCATACTTTATTCCAGGATATCATCATCTCTTTCCTAGGGAATTTTAATAGACTCCCAGCATCTGCTTTGTGCCTGTGGTCTGCTCTGTGTCCTGCATGGAGTCTGGCACTCACATCTTGTTCCAAACGTTTAGCACTTCCCTGTCTACCAGTGTCTCAGGGTATATATGTCAGCAAGTTTTCATGTTGGAAACAAAATCCTTCTATTACCTGATCATCAGCCCTCACATAGTCATCTCAACCTTTTATATGTATCACTTCACATGTGTGACATGTGTCACTTCTCTTTTCCCAAGAGATCTTGCCCCTGACCATGGCAAGCCAATTCCTTCCCCGGAGCCTATATCACACCTTTTCATGGGCATTCCTTCTTCATTTATGTTCTGCTTGGTTTTTTGTTTTTTTTTTTTTTTTTGAGACAGTTTCACTTTGTTCCTCTCAGTAGAGTGCTATGGCATCACAGCTCACAGCAACCTAAAGCTCCTGGGCTCAAATAGTTCTCTTCCCTCAACCTCCCAAGTAGCTGGGATTACACATGCCCACCACAACACCTGGCTATTTTTCTTTTTTGGTTGTAGTTTTCATTGTTGTTTGGCAGGCCCTGGCTGTATTTGAACCTGCCAGCTCCAATGCATGTGGCTGACACCCTAGCTGCTGAGCTACAGGTGCTGAGCCTATATTCTGCTTGTTTTGTAAATTATTTCTCGATATAAAAACATGCTTAAATTCTTTCCCCTTGGCTTGGCGCCTGTAGCACAGTGGTTACGGTGCCAGCCACATACACTGAGGTTGGCAGGTTCAAACCCAGCCTGAGCCACCTGAACAACAATGACAACTACAACAAAAAATAGCCAGTCATTGTGGTGGGCACCTGTAGTCCCAGCTACCTGGGAGGCTGAGGCAAGAGAATCACTTAAGCCTAAGAGTTTGAGGTTGCTGTGAGCTGTGGCCACGGCACTCTACCGAGGGTAACATAGTGAGACTCTGTCTCCAAAAAAAAAAAAAAAACTCTTTACACTTAAAGAAAATAAAATACCCATAGCTTGTGGCATGCTCGTATATTCATTCACATTCTGTGCACTTAATTGTTTACATGTTTTCATTTTCATATAAATAGTGATACTATCAACATTCATGTATATTCATCTTTCACATGTATATGGGCATTTTTCCATAGTTACTAAAAATTACTAAATTATAGGCTATGCACATGTTCAAGAATATAGGATTATTTCCTTTGTTTTCTAAATGGGCCTATGTTAATTTCTATTCCTCCAGGGATGTATAACCCATATGTCATCCAGTATTTAATGTTGTAAGGCTCCTCAAGGTTTGCTGAGCAAATCCACACAAAATAGTATCTCTTATGTTCTTATTTGCATTTTCCTCATTGCTAAAGTGGTTTAGCATCTTGCATGATTTTCAGTCAATCTGTATTTTCTTCTGTGAAATGTCATTTCATGATAATTGCCTGGGTTTTTTTTGTTGTTGTTGTTGTTAACTTGTAGCTTTTCTGTTTGGGTTTGACTTTTGTGCATTCCAGATACCTACCTTTTATCAGTGTGTTTGCTATAAGTATATTCTTTTAGTTTTTATTTTTTTAAATTTTTTTTTTTTGAGACATAGCCTCAGGCTATCCCTCTGGGTGGAGTGCTGTGGCATCACAGCTTACAGCAACCTCCAACTCCTGGGCTCAAGTGATTTTCCTGCCTCTGCCTCCCAAGTACCTGGGACTACAGGTTGTGGCAGGTGCCTTTCTTTCACATGTATATGGGCATTTTTTCCATAGTTACTAAAAATTACTAAATTTTAGGCTATGTACATGTTCAAGAATATAGGATTATTTCCTTTGTTTTGTAAATGGGCCTATGTTAATTTCTATTCCTCCATAGAGGAATAGAAATAAAAATGCCCATATACATGTGAAAGAAAGGTGCCCGCCACAACACCCGGCTATTTTTTGGTTGTAGTTGTCATGGTTGTTTGGTATGCCCAGGCTGGATTCAAAGCCACCAGCTCAGGTGTATGTGGCTGGCATCTTAGCCGCTTTGGGCCACAGGCACCAAGCTGTCTTTTTACTTTCTGAAGTATCTTTTGTTGAATAGAGGTTTTTAGTTTAGTATAGTTTGATTTATGATTTTTCTTGTAAGATTAATGATTTGTATCTTGTATAAATAATGTTGCTACACCCCAGTATCGAAAAGATATCCTTGCATATTTTATTCTAAATGTTAAAACTTGGCATTTGACATTTAAGTCATTATCAACCCTAACTTGATTGTTGAATACAGAATGTGATTAAGTGCAGTTATTTTCCCTCCCCATGTGGGTAGTTAATTTCTCTTGCTCCTTTTCCTTAGTAGTCTCCTTTTTACCACTAAGCTGCTATGACTCTCCTGCCATCTGCCAAGCCTTCATTTGAGTGGATTTCTAAACTTGCTTTTTATTTTTCATGGCCATTTTGCATTATCTCTGTGTCAGGCTCACTCTGCCTTGTGAGCTCTATCCCAGGAATGACATTATGCCCTGTTACCTGGTTCAGAATCTTGAGAATCAGCTCCCTCTAACCCACATCTTTCTCTATATTCTCATTAATACATCCTTAGTTCCTTTGTACATTCTGTCTCCTAAGGCAGAACGTACAAGTGCTCTTCCCACTTTGTCTTTGTGGAAGCTCCCTTGTGGCTAGTAAGTCTCTCTTCATTGGGTACATTCTATTAGGAAACTCCCCTGATCTCTTTCTACCCAGGGTTGGCCAACTGAAAGTTATGGACACAATTTTGCAAGACTGCTAAGTCTATCCAGATCTACCAACTGTAAATGCAAGTTCAGGGATTTCCAGAAAGCACCCTCAGTTTTCATAATTCATTAAGAGGATACACAAAAATCTTATTATGGTCACAGTTATATTTATTACAGACAAAGGACACAAATTTCTAGAGACTTGGAATGTGGACTGAAGGAGTTCCAAACACAAAGCTTCCATGTCCTTAGAGACTTGTAATCCATCCAGTATAAATATGTAAACAGGGTATCACCAACTCAAGAAGCTCATCAGAGTGGTGGTATTCAGAGGTTTTTTTTTTTGGCCAGGGATGGGTTTGAACCCATCCCCTCTTGGCATATGGGGCCAGCACCTTACTCCTTGAGCCACAGGTGCCACTGTGGTATTCAGAGTTTTATTGAGCTTCATTACATAAGCAGTGTTGATTGGAATCATTGCCCATGTGACTCAGTCTTCAGCCCCCATCCCTTTTCCAAGTTCTTTTACTTTTCTTTTTTTTGTAGAGACAGAGTGTTACTTTATCATTCTCAGTAGAGTGCTGTAGCATCACACCACTCACAGCAACCTCCAACTCCTGGGCGTAGGCAATTCTCTTGCCTCAGTCTCCTGAGTAGCTG